ACGTTGTATCTTTTCTTTTGCCGCCTTGGCCCAGCTCCCGGAGCATAAAACTGGCAGCCCAAAATCTTGTCGGGCAAAAAAAGAAGAAGGCCCAAGTCGGTAAAAAGAAAGTACAATGAAGACGAACGCTCCGGCTAAGCGAAAAGTTGGTGGCTCTGGGGGCAGGGGACTGGGCCTCGGCCGAAAGCAAGCGAAGATGAATCGTTTCGTGTTGGTGTTTTGAGCACTCAAGTGGGCGAAGTCCTGCCCAGGAGTTGGCCAAAGGTTATTGCCTGGGTGGCCGGGCGAGGGTTAGGCGCCAGGGAGCCAAGACTCCGTAGTGTGTGTTCCATCTGCACATCAATCGTGCGGCCTTTGCCGGACCAAGGAGCGCTCCCTCATTTTCATTAAGCCAAAACTGGGAGGGACGAGTGGATTTGGGTGGGCGGAGTAGGGGGCTTTGTCCCAAGTAATAAATGTAAAATGTGGCTGACGAACCACTGCACAAAGACGGAGCAAGGAGAGCATAAAAATTTGTAGATGCTGGCTCTGCTTAGCTCATCGGGAGTAGAAGCAGCACCAGCACCAGCACCAGGGCAAAATGGAAAATAATGAAGGGTAAGCTTCCAGATGGAGGTAGTGAGATCGGTGGTCTGGGGTGCGAATAGTCGGAGCAGGACTCGGCTACAACATGACGTGGGTTTCATTTGTATGCTGCCTGGCGGCGACAGGCGGGAAAAGGGACAGCTTCCCCCCAACTTGGGGTGACTCCATCCATACCTACGTGGGTGTGCTTCTATGCGTGTGCGTGTGTGTGCTGGCACCCCTTTAAGATGTCTCGGGCTTGCGTCTCCGGTCCCTGGCGCTAAAAACCATCAGAAACTAACTAAATACAAGTGGGGGTGAAAGCAGAGAGCTCATATGTGTGTGCGGTGGCTTTTAAGCAAACGTCTTTCACAAGTGAAAGGCCTGAGGGGTGAATATCCGAAGGGGTGGGCGGGCGAGGGGGTGGCCAAGGGTGGCCAAGGGTGCGAGGGCCATAAAAGCTGGCATCAGTGGTAAAAGCCAAAAACGTAACCTAAAACTGCAAGAAAATTAACCAAAAATACTAAGCCAAGTCGAAGACGTAAACGCACACATGGGCGGGCGGGCTTAGAATACGGTTGAAGGCAGGGGGCAGGGATTTGTGCCTACGAAAAGTGTAGCATACAATTTGGGGCAAAAAGAAGGAAGATGTGAGGCTGCGTGGAGGAAGGGGAAGGGCAGACTCATGCATGCCAAGGCAGAGTCTTTGGCTTGGCAACATTGAGAAGGAACTGGGCCTGAAGGTGAGGTCGAGGCGCTTGTGTAGAAACTTTTGGCATTGTTTTTGTGCCATTGTGGGCGGGTATATGTGTGTGCGGACTAAAGGCGGAGACGCCTGCTTGGGTGTGCTTGTGTATGGTGTGGCACTCATTTCTCTATCTCTCTCCCTCTTTTTCTATCTCTATCTCCAGCTGGGGATGAGCCAAGTCTGGCCTCAGACCCTCCACCCAAGTCTTTCCTTCAGGACCTCCTCCTCACCGACCCTCTTCCAATTCCTTGCCGCTGAAGCAACTTTGATTGTGGCTGAAGCTGAAATACATCGTTGCCTTCTTCATTTCCTTCGCCCCCCTCCCACTTTCGTGCTCCTCTTTTTTGGCCAAGATGGAGTTGAGTTGGCAGATTGCTTGTGCGACTCGGTCTAGGTCTGTGCCAGAGTCTCTGTGGGTGGGTGTGAGGGTGGTTGGATAGGTGGGTGGGTGACAGCGTTGCTGGTGGGTGGAAAATCATTTTTTTTTTCCATTTCCTTTGGTTGTGGCTATGGGGTGGTGAAGGTACAGAGGTGGCCCAAAGCTGATGGATCTTAGTTCGGAGGGTCTGGCAGAGGCACTGAGAGAATACCGGCAGTGATTGGTTTTCAATTGGTTTTTAAAGTTTATGGATTAAAAAAGGACTTTTGAGTAGTCTTCTCAACTAACCAATGAAGGATAATGAATAAAATAGAGAAGTGGAAAATATTATTATTTTTCGAACTATTTTCTAACTAAAATGACCGAAATAAAATGGTCTATTTCCAAGGTTTCTAAATTCTTAAGACTTTATGTAGCAAATCCAAAGTAAACCCGTTGGGCTTGTAGTTGTCCTTAGCCAAAGTCGTTGTCGCAATCGAGTCTCACCCCCCTAACTTCATCCTCTACCTTCACCCAGCTCCCGGCCCTGGCCCTGGCCCGCCTTGTCGTCTTTGGTGTTCTTGTCATCTATTTCTATTTTCGAGCTATGGCTGAGCAGATGAGGGTCTTGGGCTGTCTAACTTGTCTGTTTGTATGATGGCATATCACATCCCACCACCCCAAATCCCATCTATTCGCCATTCATGTGTGTGCTGCCCTGCATGCCCCTGCGAGTGTGTGCAAAAAACCGTAAGCAATTTTCCGTAACATCTAACCGAGGTGGAGACCCATAGCCAGTCAAGACAGTCGAAAGACGTCTTAAACGATGCTGCTCCATCTGCATCCCCTTCTGCGCTCTGCTTCCCTTTTTGCAGGTCCTGTCCCGGAGTCCTGCTCCGTTCCCCAGACTGTTGTTGACGACATTGACTGCTTTTCGTAGAGATTCTCCCCCGATTCTCGAGCTCAAACTTGGCGTCTGCGTCGATGTGCTTGCCACGTCGTCTGCCGGCGACACTAATGCTGAGCTCTGTGACGGTGACGCAGCCCCAGAATTGAAATCCGTACCAGGACCAGGACCAGGACCGTGCCTCCGACCCCCACCACCGAGATTCAAAAAGTTCGATCATGGGCTGATGAGTGACTCCCGCTTTTGGCTGAAACGAATCATGTTTGATTACAGCTGAGCAGCATAACAAGTTGCTCTTCTGGAATGGGGAGTATCTGGAGTTTGAATCTCACCAGAAATTCTTAAAGTTTTGCAGCTTCGATTCACGAAATTGAACACAAAAGCGCTCCCATCCTTTGGATGGACACACACGATGCCCGACGGTGGCTTAAATGCGCTTAGGCGCAAATCTTGACCCACCCGCCCACAAAGGGTTGATGGGTTCGGACTTAATGGGGGGTGGTGGGAGGTGCTCGCCGGAAGGGGGGGTTCCTTTGACAAACACAAACATAGCCGGTGATTCAACTATTTATATACCAATGTCGCTGGCTATGTACAAAAGTCAATGCTTTTGCTGCGCTGACCGCCGGCTTGAGGCCTCGGTTAGTTAGGGAATTAGGTAGGGCGGGGAAATACGCTGCCTCTGATCTTAGGAATATTTTTAGGGGGACTATCTTAACAGGGGAGAGTTCTTAAAAATATCTAGAAAATATTTTAATTTAAACTTATTTTATTTTTATGGATTTAATTTATAATATTAATGAGTTATTTCCACAACCCTCACAGCAAAGGAGCGATACCCTGTCAGCCTGCACGAGGACTCAGTCACCCGCCCCCGCACACAAGCGAAGAAACTTTGCCGGAGGGCTGGTCAGTCCCTGGACTCGCTTTGTGTGTCTGGTCGTGTGTTGGTGGGGGATTGTGGGTCGGTGTGGTGCCGGGGTGGGTGGGCTAGTCCCAAGAAGCAACTTCTTTTGTGGCGCCCAAGTAACCGTGCACCCTCGCCCCGCTTTCCGATTTTGCCGCCGTTGCCATCGCCTGCGTCTTCGTCATTTGATGAATTACCGTGCAGAGCAAATGTGCGCCCTTAGCTGTTGTGGGGGTGGTGGTGTGGGGGTGCCACAAAGATGGTGGTGGCGGTAGTGGCGGTGAGGGGTTTCGCTGTGTGTGCATCGTTTCGTTTTCGGAGGCTAGCCCCCACAGCCCTTACCCCTAAGTCAGACACCCCAAAGCCGTTACACTGCCGCCACCCTCGCTACTGTGACCGCCCTTGAGCACCCCTCGTCCGCTGACTCATATATATGACTCGTCCCTTCCCCGCCTTCGTCCTCGTCCTCATCGCAATTCGCGCTTCTATTTACCAAGGAGCACCCGCACACCCACACACATGAGAGGACACCCACACCGGCCCACCGACAGCGTAGCGTCGTATATCATTAGAGTGCGCCAGGCCCCATTTCGTACCCTTGTACCCAAGTTGGTCGCCTCCACCCCACCGCCAAGGCGCCTTTTTATCCAAAAAGGCATTATGAGCAGGTTTTCTTTTGCGAGTGCTGCCTACGCGGCGTATTAGCAATATTTTTGCAACTGTCTAGGTTTCTTCCGCTCCTTTTTATCTCTCCCTCTCCCTACTCCGCACCTTGTGAAATACTATATATATTTTTTCGAAATGTTTACTCTGCGGCTGGGAAAATGTGTCTGGTCTGCGGTGAGTCTCGCAGTAGAAGTGGTCTGGGGGAAAATTGATTTCATATTGGACTACTTGCCGAAAGCAGAAAAAAAAGCGAGCAGGCTTCAAGGAACTCACAGAAGAATGTCTGAGACTGTCTGGGCAGGAATGGTTGGTGGATGTAGCTTTATGATGGCAATCGATGGAACCATACCATTTGGTGGAGTGCCGTCTTTCAAAGGGCACATACTTGAAAGTGCAGCTTAGTACAAAAGCATATCTTCTGAATGATTTATGAAGCTTTCTATTATCCAATTATAGTGATTATGATTTCGGTTTAACCTGTGGACGATTTTTAGACGGTGTTTTAAAAATCCTGTGGGTTTTGTATCTAATTGTATATAACTTTAGGAGATTCTTTAGGAACCAATATATATATGCTATTATTTTTAAATATATTTAAAACCCCTATATTTTTAAATTATTTTTATTAAAGAGACACATTCCACTGGATTTCATTAGAAACTTCCTGCCCCAAAAGAAAACTTCCTGCCACTGCGGCAACTTTTGAAATCAATTACCACCATTTCCTGCACTTGAAACGAAAGAGTTCAATTGTCGCATCCTGACAAAATTATTTAATTGAAACTGGCCCCAAGGATAGCTGTCCTTCGAGAGTGTGTATGTCCTTTGAGAAGGGTATCCGTACACTCACCTTGTGCAGCAACACCGAGGCTTTTCTTTTAGATGCCATTTTCGTGCTGGTGGTGGCGCCTCCGCCAGCACCTCCGCCACCGCCACCGGTTGCCGATGCGGTACGTGTCGATGTTTTTGGTGTTTTCCTCGGATTCTTCGGAATTTTGGCAATTTTTTGTAGATCCTGCGTGGGGTGAGGAATCCGCCCGAAGACCAGACAGTTGAAGAGGAGTAGGCGCTGCCAAAATGCGACGATATCAAAGTTGTAGTTCAAGCTGGTATCTTTGGCACAGAACACACTTGTAACACTTGTTCGGATCGGGTTCGCTGCAACTTGGCACTTCTCAGGTTTAAAATTTTTGGCGGGTTTTTCCTTTTTTTGGTTTTTTTTTTATTTTTTGCAGCTTCTTCACTTTGGGTTCGCACAGTTTGGGTTTCGCGGCGATTAGGGTTTTTGGCACACTTTCCAAGCGAGAGTTACTTTGGCGAGGACTAGCTAGTCGCTGTGTTCCACCTGCTATACTGGCAATGGTGGGCTTGTGGGTTTTTGTTTTGTTTTGGTTTTGGTTTGGATTTGGATTTGGGTTTTTGGTTTGGCGGGCTCAGAGCGCTTCTCCAAAGGCGAACCAACCACGACGAAAGCCAACTGCTGACTGACCAAAACAGAGACGGCCAAATGGGTTTTGAGCTGCGGCGCCAGGACCTCCGTCGACGACGTCGTCGATGTCGAGAGAGAGGCGAAGCGGCGAACGACGAGAGTGAGAGGACCTTAGGTGGCAGCGCCTGCGCACTGGGGGCCATAACGGTGAATGTGGGACGCCGCCAAAATCAGAATGTGCGTGTGCAGGGCAAACGCCGAAAAGTGTGCAACATGCGTCCCCCTCTCCGGACACCCCTCCTCCTTCTACACCCACCCCACCGCACCCCCTTCCATGGACCCGAGAGCAGAGGGATATGAGTACAAAAACAGAGAAACGCCGATAACGCGACGCTCGGCGTCAACGAACCACGTTGTCCACGGGGTGGTGGGGGGAGGATCCGACGAGGGGGGCTGCGAGAGAGAACGAGCGGCGGGAGTGACCGGGGATGGTGGAGGGGGGTGGGGGGCAAAATCAGCCGGATGGCGGCGCGGCAGATGAGTTGACAAACAGCTGAGTGCCGACGGTTTTGTGAATGGGATGGGTGTTCCGCCAGTGGGAGTGGGAGAGAGCCTGCGAGTGGGCAGCCGAAGGAGAGAGGGCCGGGCGGCAATTATTTTTGTTGCTTTTTTCATCTTTTTTGCTTTTTCCCTTCATCCCGGAGAGTGAGTAAGTGGGCGGCGGTGGGTGGCGGACGCTTCCTTGGTTGTTGTTGGTTTTGTCTTTCGCCGGCATGGCGCAAAAAAGGCCGGCTGGAGCGTCGCCAGGGGTGGGAAAGAGAAAGCGAACCTTGGAGTGGAGTGGGTTAGCCGGGGGTGGGGTGGGTTAGGGCTTTGTGGGTGGTGGTGGTGGCAGGGGGACGTTGTCGGCGTTTCGGATATGAAAAACGCACAAAAAATACAGGGAGGGAGTCCGGGAAAAATAAATGAGAAAAATATATGAGCCGGCTACGTTGTTGCTGTTGGCATGGACAACATGAATTCCGAAATGGTCTCGGTCTCGGTCTCGCCCTCTCACTGTCGCTCTCGCGCCGTCCCGCTCACTCCCCGGGACAGGCAGTGGGGTCGCCGGGCTGGAGGAGTGCGAAAGTGGACAACGTTGTTGTCGCTTGTCTGCCTGAATAAGTGAGGAGTGGGGTTGCCAGCTGGGTGGCTAGGTGGCCATGGGTAGCGTAAAGTTTTTGAAAAGAATAAAGGAGAAAAAAGCAACGGGGGGCTGGTTTTCGTTGGGGGTGCGTGGGTTGGGTGCGAAAAGGGTCAAGAGCGATGGGCACCTTGCGGGGGACGGTGGGCTGTAGGCGGGTGGCGCATAGCGAAAGGGTGCTCAAGGGGTGGGAGAGATTCCGCGAGTAAGGGAGAGGGTGTGAGAAAGATCTGTTAACGTCAGCCTTGTTCAACGTCATTGCCGACGCTATTTCAAAGGATTTCTTCCGCTTCCGTCGCTACGATCATGCAAGTTATCGTTTATCTTGAGCAGTTATCGATAAAAAAAAAATGGAGATTAAAATGTGGAAATCGTAGTTTGGAAGTTTTATCAGGGTAAGGGGGCTTTTTAAGATTTATTTCCCATGAAGTTTGTTTATTCTACTACAATTGTATTTGATATGAGAATCGAAACTGCAACAATGACTTGAATAAATTTATATAGACGTATTAATAATAAAAAAAATAAATAAATATAAAAAATAAATAATATAATATAATATTAAATAAATTTAATAAAAAGTAGCTCTGAATCATGCGTAAAATTATCATTAATTTATCTTGAAAATAATAGCCAGTAGTATTTCTTTAATAAAGAATCAATTTACTTTTCCATGACCTAACAGCTGTTGCAATAAATTTCGGAAATAATTATCAGGATGTAATGATGCACTGAGAAATATTCTTTAACCTTTTAACTCATATTGAGAAATCATATTATGCATATTCCTAGTTTCCCGTTGTGTATAAAGTCATAACATCGCGGTCGCTAGCCCATTAACTAAATTCCCTACATATTCAATTCGCAGCCGAGGCAACTCAGCTCGGTTTCCTTTGTTCGATGTGCATACCTGAGTGTCTTTGATATTTGAAAGTCAAAGTGTTAAAGTTAGTTAACTGACCATTTGGTTAATGCATAATTAAAGTTAGCTCGGTTACTGGCGGGGTAAACTCCAAGTGTGGCTAATTAGGTTAAATTGATATCTTCATTGTCTCATTGTGTGATGTATTAACCGAAACGTGTGCTTGAGCATGTTTAAATAAGAGTATCACGTAGGCAGCCGAGCCAGCTTGTGGCTTCTAATAGAGCTATCGGGGTAGATACTGAAGACCAAAAAGCCATTGGTCTGTGTCGACGGTAATTGGGAAGTGAAAGCCAATGAGGTGTTAAGGTTATCATTATACCATTAAAAATGGAATAGTAAGAACTAATATCAATATTGCAATTTAGATGGATAACAGAATTTTTTCCGAAATCAATTAAAATAATTATAAAAACATAAATTTGAATTCATCAATTTCAATCAGTACTCTGCGGGGTATGATTTTTTTTCCACATTTACCTTTTTTTTAGTGCTACGCTGTATCGATATATAGAATTGTATTTAAAAGTGAATTATATGGAATCGAAAATAAAATTTGATGTAAATTAAAAGCAATATATGTTAGCTGAGCAAAACGAAGGGTAATTGATGTCCATATTTCCACCCAGGCTCGGGGTTCTCACCTTTAATTGTTAGGTGTGTGGGAGGCGGGGGGAGGGAGGGCGGCAAATCAAATCGCATTTATAAAATAATAAACCTATGGCCAGAATTGTTTCGTAAATGCCGTAAATCTTTTAAAACTACCAGCTACTGGCTACCGCATAAATTCAAGCGATTTTATTTATGTTCCCCCGCACTCAGTGCTTTTGAATAAAAAATAAGTATGAAAAAAGTGCCATAAAATTAGTTGAACAAAATCCAAAAACTATTTCATCAAAAATTCATAAAATAATAATAAGACCGGGCCGAAAAAAATAAGAGAACCGAAAAACAGAAAAAGTTGATTTAATGAAATATTTATATAGCGCACAAAATGAAAGCGCTATGTGTAAAAAAATTGCGAATCAGCTAAAAAAATGTGTTATATGTAAAATAAATAATATATGAAATATTTATATAAATTGCAAAAATGCGCAGCTCTGCATAAAAAATAAAAGCACGCAAGAGCTAAATGCGCAGTCGCCTCTATTTTTCTATTGAGGCGTGGGGGCGTGGTAGGAGGCCTAGGGGCCCTTTATATATATAATATATATACTATATGCATATATGCATCAGAGTACATATAATGGAATATGTATAAAATGTCAAATGATTTGTTTGTTCACTATCTTCCCTTTGTGCCGACTGCAGCTCACAAAAAACTAATGCAAAAAACAAATGGTTAGTAATATGCGAAAAAAATGCTCAGCCGGTGGGTGGGATGGTCCTGTTAGTGGGGGATCCAATGCAGCAGCAACTGCAGCCAATTCAATTAAAAATCTGCCACTTAAGCCCCCCGGAAACAGAACGGGATCTGGGTGAAACTAGCGAGGAATGCAACAGAATCACGAGTATTGGAACATGATTTGACAAATATCCTGTGGAAAGGATCTCAAAATAGGATTTATTTTTGAGAGAGAAATAAAACCTATTATATTTAAGTATAAATTTATAATTTTTAAAATAAAGTGGCCAATTCAAATTCATGAGTTTAAAATATCTATAATCTTTTGCTACTTAAATTTTATTCCTACATCTGATAGATCCCAGATCGCATCCCTATGCGGCAGCTAAAATGGAGCTTCAAACTAAAATGCATCCTGCAACTGTCACCCACACCTAGGCACCCATCACGCACACGGTCACTGAAATGCAGTATATAACAAAAATTTTATGTGAATTTATTTTTAGTGTTTTTTATTTGCCCGGTGGAGGTGGGATGTTGGGAAAGGTGGGAAGGCTGAACGCATTTTGTTTATATTTTTTTCGCGCGCGACAACTACAACACTAAACTACACGATACATACGAGCGTGTGTGTGGTCATAATAAATAATAAAATTCAGGAACACACACATGTACACAAAAAATGGGGTAACTTGGCCGGGAGGGGGCAGGTTTGGCTTATAAAAAAAAAAAAAAAACACTGAAAATGCTGTTTGAATTTTGCGCACATTTTACGCCTGATCGAAATATTTTGCGCTATCCGGGAGGGGAGGACCATAGAAAAAAGTCAAACGCATGGGCCGATAGACCCCGCTCCCCAGCTGGACCCATTCCCGCCCAATGCCATCCCCAATGCCAGCGCCTACAAAACTTTTATTGTGCTCGTCTATGTTTTTTCTGCTTTGACGCTTCGACCAAAAATTGCCAATGGGCTTTGCTCGACTGCTGGGCAGGGGCCAAGGGACACTATGTGGGTATAGCGTTGCACTGTGGTGCAATGTGGTGCAGCGGGGCGGCAGTTTAGACCACGGTTATGGTTATGATTGTGGTGTGAGGTTCCGCTTGTGCTCCATTGGCTGGTCCATTGTTTGTTTTGCGTGGGTTCGTTCCATATCCCGGATTGTTGAGGTAGGCTAAGCAGTAGAATATCGTATACATATATTCACTGGAATCATGAACTACACCTGCATACAAATGTTTGGTTAATCAGCTTTAAAAACCCACATGTGGGTGTGGTCTAAATTTTCCGATTTAGCTTACTCCTATTTGATATATTTATTCGTGGCATTGAATAGACTCATTGGTAATATATTCACAATATTAGTTTAAGGAATATCTATATTATTTTTGTAAATTTATATATTTCTAGACATTTTGTATAATCTTCTCAGAGCTCCTTAAGACCAAAACTTTGGAGACCTGAAAGGTAATTGGCCATTCCTCACCAGAAGTAATTAGAAATCCTTCACCGAAAATGTTAGCTTGATTTCATTGCAAATCTGAACGCTTCCGACTCATCGGTGATTATAAAAAATCCAATTCCATTTATTTGCTTCAATCAATTTTAATCA